CCCATATTAAAACAAACACAACAAGAGGTTGTTCATCCTTTTCACAGCAGTGATTGTTTATAAAGAGTATTATTTCAACTAGGGCTGGGCGATATGGCTGAAAACTAAATCACAATATAAGTAATTTATATCGGTCGATAACAATATATATTGATTGTTTTTTATTCATTTTTTAAAACGTATATAAATAAATTTGTCGTGTCGGCTAACACACGTTAGCAGCCTTGTTTACAGTCACGGGAATGAGGCTGGAGCCAAATGTTCACAAGCAGTCTCCCCGATAGTTAGTCCTGGTTAAATCCTGGTTTAGTCCTGGTTTAGCTCCTGTTTTGATTGTTTGAGTGTTTTATGTCCCCGTGACGGCTCCGGAAAAAGTTAATCTCTTGCTTTTGCCGAATGCATCGAGTCTCTGTACCCACTGCCTCTCCCGCCGCACATGCTGTTCCTCGCACGGACGTGTTTAACCATTGACACGGCACTGAAACATGTTCTTTAGATCCATGGCTATTATAATAGATCCATGATCCATGGACGCTACGCATGGTGTGGTTGTTGTTTTTGCATTTCCCAGAATGTTTTGCGTTTGTGGTCTGCTGTGATCGGTCGAGAAGCCTTTGCCTACATCCCCCAGAATGCTGCGCGCTTCTGACTCGGCTTTACTTCCTGTGTTTTCTTCCTGTTTTTTTCTGACAGAGTGAAGTGAAACTATCGACCTATCGATAGTTTCTATCGACCCCGTTTTCTATTGATATCGAACATGTGTCTATCGCAATAATATATATATATATATATATATATATATATATATATATATAAATACAATTTTGTTTAATTACCAAATTGCATAAAATATAAAATCAAGTAGTTAGTAGCTGGATTTCGACATCCAACTTTAAACTGGTGCCATTTCCCTTCTGCCTTTACTTTTTTCAGTTTAAATCACTTTAACTAGGGCTGTATGTGTGAATTGGTGTGTCATTCATTTAAATAGGATCTGTCCTGAATGCACAAAGTGGGGGCAGGACCCCAGCTGGAAGTAATAATGCCTCAGTCGCAGGGTTGAAGTCTTTAATCTGATGCACAGGACTGTAAACAGCAGCCCATCTTCGAACAGTAGCTTCACTCCTTTCTTTCAGTCATTTCTTTTGGTGTTGAGCCTGCAGGACCCTTGCACATCAGAGATCTTTTAACAAGTTTTTTTATGTTTTCCAGAATCATTGTAACCACATGCAATAGATTTGGCTAAACAAGAGACACATTAAAGACATTTGTTTACTTTTTAAGTTGGATTTTCATTTCAGAAAGGGAGTTTGTCAGGCACAGTTCTTAAACAAGAAGTTGTACATAGGAAACATTGTGGAATGCCATCAAACAAGACAAGACTAAAAATACTGGATATGTTACTACTATATACCATTTTAAAATTGCTCAACACACCCTTTTTTTTTCTCCTCTACACAATTAAGTCAACAACCAAAAAGGAGACTATAAGCTATACTTTAGGTGCATGACCTCATCCAAGTATGATGGAAGTACTTGGTGTTTCTTTATGTCTTTATTTATTGTTTATTTGGTTGGGACAGTGCATGTTAATGAACACATCACTCCGGATTGTAGCCATGGGCTAATTTGCATTTAATTACAACCTTAGTACATTCCCTCTGATCAAAAACCCTGTACTCGACTGTAACCTACACTCGACTCACCTTTCAACCCACCTTTTGACCAAGTTTTTTTGCTGATGTGTGGGAACACAACAGCCAAAAGAGGCAATAAATGTACAATACAGAACAACAAGCCATGTAACATGTCTAAGTTTGGGCTTTTGCGCTGCTCTTTTCAAAATAGGTTCCTGTTTCTTTAATGGAGCTAGTTATGGTCCGTCTCGGAGTTTCCCAGTGCAGTGACAGATGGCTTCAATGGTAGGGCGTAGGTTTGCGTGAGGACCAATATTTGGTGAAGACCAAAATGTCCTCACCAAATATAAAATGATGTCCCGGACTAAATCTAGTCTATTTTAACATGTTTATATCAATCAATCAATCACATTTTATTTATAAAGCGTTTTCATACAGAAGATGCAACACAAAGTGCTTTACAGTTTGGTTACAAACAATCCCGCCGGCCCATGACCCCCTCCACCCGACCACCCGACAGACCCACGCCAAACCACATGTATTATCAAGAATGTACGCACAAGCAGACGCACACACACGCTCACACACTTGGTCTTACGCACACACACACATGCACCAGTAAGATCAAAAGCTTAGTCCATTTAAATGCGATTCTCTCCAGGTACACTGGTGTGACTTTAGAAGACTGATTTTGACATTTTTCAGTCTTCTGAAAAGCTGACGCAGTTAAAAACGACTCGCCTCCGTTTCCCACTGTTTTCCTGGGTCAACCCCATATTTCAACCCAGGTCAAAATACACATCTCTGCAGTGTATAAATTCCTACTGTTCTGATTGCCTCCATAGCCATGACTCTATTCAATGAAAAGGGAAAATGGCAGAAACAATAAGTATTTAGCTGTTTGTGTTCACAGCTCACATAATTTTTTACACTTGTCTCAAACTTTTATCCAAACTTGTAACCAGAGATATTATGTTTGTTTCCATACAGGATTGTTGTGACAGCGCTGTGCCGGCCTCACCTCATTTTAGTCCTCTGACAACAACGGGCTGTCACCATATTCATATTCTGCTGTTGTCGACACGCCCCTCCCTGTACACAGTGGATCAGAGTAATCCCTTTATTGTCATGGAGCTGTTGGCGGTGTGTGTCCTTTGGAGTCAGACGACAAGTCGGCACTCGCTGAAGGAGACGCTTACATTTTCTCCATCTTATACCTTTTTTTCAGTTTTAATTCCTGCTTCTTCATGCGCTGCATATGTAATGCATTGCAAAAGCAAGTGTGACAGCAGATAAGATGAGGCTGAATCTCTTGAGTTTTAAAACTATCTTGAAATGCACCCAAACAAGATAACACAGGATGATATTAAGAAAACCTAAGAAAAAAAAAACAAAACAGAACCATAGTCAGTAAAGGCTGCATCCCCATCAAGGCAAGAAAATAGAACATTCAAACTCATGCTGGTGATAAACATATTCTGGCGACTGTTTTGCGGGAATTCTGTGTGTTCTGCATATTTCAGGTTTGGCTTGAATAAGTTTAGTTGTAACTTGTGACATAGTAGTTGGACTCTCAGCGGGTCAGAACATTCTGAGACCTGTGCTGCAGATTCTACCTCGTTCTCATTGTTGTAGGTGTGAACAAAGTGACTGTCGATGTGAAGAAAGTTTCATCATTCTTTTTTTAAAAGATTGTTGTTTGGTTAGTTCTTTTACATAACTGTGGTCCTCCATGGTTCCTACTTCAAACTTGTAAGGGCACGGTGAAAGCAATGTTATTAGTATAGCACGATTAGTCCCCAGTAGTTAGTAAGCTGTGTAGATGTTTGTAGAAATACACTGACAAGTTCCAACACCCCACATTAGACCCTTAAGAGAGCTACGGTTGGTGGGAATGGTTCTGCATTAGTCACCCACTTAAGTCATCATCCAGGCCCTGATTGATTGTTTAATTAGCTTTTACGGCCTCACTCTATATTCCTTTTGAGCCCAGACACAAGTAAATAAATGCAATCGATGTGGTGAGAGAGCTGTTCTGCTGCCAATAACACTTCACTGACCTGATAAGTCCAACCAATCTGTCCTTTTTGGATTGTGTATTTAGATGCATGCTACAGGCAGTAGCATACATCCTGTGAAAGTAGGACTAGAACAAACGATTATTTTGATAATCGATTATTCCATTGATTGATTGATTAGTGGCTTAAAAAGTGCATGACTTGTATCCACATTTGATGCAGTTTAAGTGAAGCCACTGGAGGACATTCTAATATATAATATTTGTAATTACTGCAACATAATTCAGCAAACAAACAAAAACTAAAAAATTGACAGGCACCTTTGAACAGCTCAATACAGTACCTCAGGAAACTATAACCATCATGGCCATACCTGAGAATCTCAGAGGACCGTGTTGAACATAGACTCAATAAATGAAAGACTTTATGGTGAGTTATTATGGGGCACCCGATACCACTTTGAAGAAGGTCAATGGCTGACTTTAAAGCCAAGTGTGCAGGGCTGGCTGTAATGACAGCACTCTCGACCCGGGATATTAATTGAAAAGTGATAACTATCTTTATGAAAAAATATCTAGCCGTGTGGGGTCAGCAGAACTTTGAAATGCAGTGATCATTATTGGAGTCAGAATCAGATTAGCTTTTTTCATCTGAATTATGTAAATTAATGCCAAAAATAATGAGAAATGTATTTTTTTTAAGCATTGTTGTTATTCATGTTGTTAAAATTCTGTGGAAGTTGAAATCTTTCCACAAGCTTCTCAATTCAGTAATTTACTGGATTTCTGGTACGTTCCACTAAAACTTTTTTTTCTCATTTAAATTTAGTTTAAATGATTTCAGATACTGTTCCTTATTGAATTTCAATGTATGATTTTTTAAGTGTACCTGCTTCTCTAGGAGCAAACCAGCCCAACAACATGAGACTGGTACCCTCATGCTTCGGCGTCATGTCACTTCATTGATTTTTTATGGCAAGCGTCATTTATTTCTTCACATTGTTTAATCATAGGACATGTCTCCAAAAATGTCTCCAGGAATTGTTTACAGATCTTTTCAACATGTGGCCTGGTATTATCTTACAATGACACACAATCATTGGGCCTGTAAGCCTAAACAGGTGGCAAACATTGCAACTCATTCCTGAAAGTATTTCATCAAAACATATAATTTGTTTTCTGGATTATAACCGATCACCCGTTTTGAACAGGACAGCCAAAGACACAAGACAAAATTACTATACCATACGGCTTAAATGTGCTTTTGATTTTAAGTCATTTATTTGTGATCAACAATCCAATAGCATTACTCAGCCATAAGAGACCAAAGTAGTTTCCTTACTCACTTGGGTTTATGAAGCTGCTGATCTCAGGGCTGTTGTTATGAATTTCCCTCCATGACAGTTCCGTGCGGTACAATGCAACTTCTACAGTGGTTTGCTTGTGGATGTGGAAAAGGCACGTTGAAAGTATCCGGGGTTGTTTGTCCATAATGTTTTGCTGCTGCGTCAATCAGCAGCGGCGTGGATAAGATTTGTCAGTCTCTTGATCGTCCTCATGTCAACAGTAACATTGGTCTTTTGTGGCGATTTGAAAGGAGCATTACCGCAACCGCATAAACAGCCACACGCGTCTGACGGCGTTGGACTGTGAAGTGGCCAGCCGCATACAGCAAAGGTCGTTTATGCAACAGGTGGCTCACTCACTGTGTTATGCATGATATTTACCTCCTCCAGGGGGTAATGTAATCACCAAGGGTTATTTGTCTTCCAGTTACTTATCAAAATAACTATAATTTATGAACGGATTAGAATGGCATTTCCTGTCAAACTCAGAAACAATTTATCACATTGCTCTTTGGATATTATTCGGATGACCTAGGATTCAGATATTGTGTGAAAGAGCTGGTAGTTTTTTTTAGTTGAAACCGAAACAAAAACAGAGAACCACACAACATAAGAAATAAACGCCCCTATAAAAAATATTTAAGTCTATAGAGTATGTCAGGTTCTCATTTCCTGATTTGAATTAGAAACACATTACGTTAAAACGTCCCTCAACAATGACTGTCGATAGTACTATATTTCCTCCGTTTTAACCCAGAACTCACAGCAATAATTTAATTTACATTTTTAACATCACTTCTTGAACTGAAATAATACAAAGAAAACGTGTTTGATTGACACTTTTTTTCTGTCAACACAGCACGAGACACCAAACCACAGGCAACGACGTCAGCCTCCATGAAACCACTTTTGCTCAAATCTCACTTCTGATTGGCTGGCATGGAAGAGCTCGCATTTCAGCCAATCACGGCCTGGTTTGCTCGTGCATCTGATAGCTCCAACATGGCAGCTCTCTGAGTTTTGGTCGAGGAAACTGTGTAAATGAACTGAAATTCGGGCTGTCTCGAAAACGACAGCGCTCTGGTGCTTCATTTTATGACTTGTGGGATAGCAAAGGAAATATGTCGAATGATGGGAACAAGTTTTGGAAGCGAAACGCGGCGAAGGTTCCTGGCAGGTGAGTGACGTGTTCTGTGTTCAGGGCTAAGGCTAGCTGTCAGTAAACGCCTCACAGTTTCAGCATAAAAGCACATTTCCTTAATCCGACTCATTGTAATATCTGTATCACTTATCCCCTTTATTCTGCCCTGTTCATCAAGCGAATGGTTTATTTCACACCCTTTCTGCACACGGGTCTTCAGAGCTAATTTGCTTAAGAGCGGCTAAATGTTGACAATTTTATCAGTTAACTACATGGATATATTATGCTGTATTATGCTTTTTATTTCAATCTAGAAAGTATGCTGACAACAACTGTTGTGCATGATCTGCGTCCTGTTAAAGTTCCGTTTCTATCTCCTTGTGATGATAGTTGAAGTTTGGGGATCAGGAAGCTGCTGTAGCTCCCTGGACTGACTCCATTACTCTGATTTGTGTCTCCTCCAGTATTCAACATGTGTACGGGGCACAGCATCCACCGTTTGACCCCCTTCTCCATGCAAAGTACGTGCCACCCTGTCTGTGAGTGCAAGATAATGTATAGCATTATGGATTGAGCATAGACAACATTTTTATACTTGACCACGACTGTTAATGCACATATATTCATTATCTAATTCATTAAGTAAACAAGATGTTTGAATTTGAACTCTAAATCATTATTATAACAATGTTATTATAACAATGTTATTATAACAATGTTATAATAACAATGTTATAATAAGGATAATGGTAGTCAAATAGATGTTGAGCCTTTTAAAGAATAGTTTATGACACCAAGATTAGATTTTTGAGACTGCCAACACAATCTTTGAACCATAGCGTTTCTCGTTTTTGTATTCATACATTTCAATCATCATTATTTTTTATGTCGCAGTCTAATTAAAGCTGGCAACAAGCCTCCCCCAGCCACGCCTGGAAAACCTAAAAAAGCCACCAGTTTCCAGGAGTTTGAGAGCACCACAAGTGATGCCTGGGATGTGGATGATGATGATGTGGATGTAGACGACTTGTTGGCAATGGGTGCTCAAAATCTCAACATTGAAGTTGTGAAGGAAACCGCAAATAAGGTAAAGGAAAAAAAGTATGGCTGTATAGATAGGCTTGGAAGATCTACTTTTACAGCAACCATTGAGTCGTGATAAATCTTTTCATGTATCTAGGGGTGTTCCGATTCAGAATATCACATTTGGTTTGATTTATGATGCATATGATTTATGATCAAGTAATGACCATGTTGTCTCTTTATTTACCATTTGTTGGCAGAAATTAAATACTCGGTGTTTTAAATGAGTATGTACCTATAAAAGTACACACAATGTAATTTACTAGTAAATTACCTAGTAGATTTACAAGGGCCAGGGAGCTTGAGGGTTCTGTACTTACACTTTTGACATGTGAGGAGATGGGAACCAGATAGCCTTCAATGAAAACTACCCCTGCCCAATGATTATTTGACTTTATTATTGCTGTTTGATTTGTCTATTATCACCTATGATGTGACATGCACCCTTTGTACTCAAAGGGAATTTTCAAGTGTAATAAAGCAGATGCAAATAGATGACAGAATGGAAAATGACCCATAATGCAGTCCTGCTAATTTACAGGGGATTTTGCACTTTTAAAAAATGTATTCTCTCCTTTGAAAAATAAGTACAACAAATATTTTATTTTATCTTCAGTGAAGCATTGAAACCCTATACCAACGTATTGCAGAGAAGGAGAATGTACTAGATTAAAAACAGCTGTGGACCCAGCACTGACCATTTAGAAAACTCTGTGACATAGTGATAGTGGTAGTTTGATGTTTTCAGCGGAATGAATTGTTTTGAGATAAGGGCTGAACTATTTTAAGACTGTGCCTGTTACCTTAATGTTATCCAAACTCATTGGGTTAGATATTGATCTGCACAGCATATTTTTTTAAAATATTCTGAAGGGTCTACTTGATATTTATATTTAGTTGTCTTCATTATTATCCTATTTGCACTTTATAGGTTATAGAAAATCACAGCAGGCAGCAGGAGCAGCAGAGACTAGACGACTCATTGGAGGTGGAGCAGAGGGAGGAAGAGCCAACAGAGGAGGAGCCTGAGGACCAGGACCTCGATGTGGAGAGGGAGGAGGGGGAGCAACCCCATGAGGGAGAGCTACCAAGCCCAGAAGTGTCGTTTACCTACAGCCCCTACAGCGATGTTCGCCTTGTGAAGTCCCATAGCGAGGCTCCAATTGGGTCACCAAAAGGTTAGTAAACTTAAAATGCTCAGGGTTGAACACTACAAATTTGAACTTTTGGTGGTGGACGTGTATATCTCTTACTATGGTGTTGAGTTCAGTTCCTCTTTCAACCTATCAAATATTATACAAAAATTGTTAATTATTGAAAATGCTAGATAGGACAAGCAATAATTGATTGACATCATCAAGGTTCTTGTCATTTCATGCAAATTCTTTGCACAAACATATTTATGAAGCTCGGGGTGCCCACTACTACCCTACCGCTACCACCACCACCAAACTTTCTTCTCAGAATGTTTTAACTATTTCTTTGATCGCTAATCAAAATAAATTGTCACACCACGGGCTACCAAAATAACCACATCACCATTGAAAGGTGCAAGTAAAGAGAGCAGTTACCTGAATTTGTAATAAGACTTGAAGCTTAATTAAAAGACCTATCATGCATAATTGACTTTTGGTGTTTTAACCATGTTACAACAGATAAAAAATTATACCACACTCAGAATTGGCACACACCTGGAAAGTAGTTTTGGGCCAAGAACCGACTTTTGGACCATCCTGTAAAGCCAATATTGAGAGGAAAGAAGACGCCATACAAAAGTATTGGATAATTCTCTTTCTGGGCCACCCCCACCGGCCTGGGGTAATATTTCAAGTATGTCAGCGCAAATGCTCATGGACGTTTTTGAGCCAGGACCCGCTCCCACTGGACTTTCTGCGCTAACAAGCTAGGCTACTTTCAAACTGTAAACAAACTGCCGGAGTGCAAATCATCGGACTCCGGCAGTAAAGGGAGCAGAGAGTGTCTGGCGTTTTTATGAACTTTTTTCAGAGTGACTGGCGTGTCACCTTCTCAGTTTTGCAGCAATGTGGTTACACAAACTGGACTACCTGCTCATTTTGTGTGGATTGCTTTTCATGCTTTGTACAAGCTACAGAACGATAGAGCCGAGTGTGCGCGGGGCTGGAGCCCTTCCACGACTCTCCTTTATGCGGGAGTCTCTCCTACTACTCAGGTTCTCTGAGCGGGCTGCGGATCCACCGCCAGACATTTAAAAATGAAATCTTGGTCAGAGGTAGGGGTGGTCAATAAGTCAAATTTAGGCAATTAATTGGCTTCTTAAAAAAACGAATTTGTGAAAAATGTGAAAATTGTGGAATTGAATATTGTGAGAGTTCCAGCAGCACATGAACTATACTTGCAATATCAGCTCAGTCTGTACAAGACTTTTATAATACGTATTGGGAGAAACAAATAAAAATAGTTTTGAAACTTTAATATTGAGCGGAAAGATAAAAACATATTTTTAAGGGTCTTCGGTGACTTTAATGAAAATCGATTTTAAAATCAAAATCGTCAAAGCAGGAAATAAAATCGAGATTTTACTTTTTTGCCATATCACCCAGCCCTAGTCAGAGGACAGAATTTCAACTCTACAGGCTTCGTTTGAATGTACAGACTGGGACTGCTTCTAAAAGGCTTGAGGTGATGATATCAATGTATTGATGTCTGCTGTCGTTGTGTCCTTGGGCAAGACACCTAACCCACTTTGCCTATAAGAAGCGCGGAAGTGATGTTCGCTGCTTGCCTTGATGTGTTTGTGTATATGTATCAAACTGAAATTTCCCCATTGTGGGACGAATAAAGGACCTTCTTCTTCTTCTTGTGTGATACAATCTCCTCATATGTAACTTTCTGTGTTGATTCAGTTGTCCCTTCAAAGAAGGTAGTGATGTACCAAAATAACAAACCTTGGGTGACTAAAGATTTGAAAACAACTATTAATAGAAAGAAAATGGCCTATTCTATTGGTGACCAGGTGGAGATAAAATATGCTTCACCGGAAGTAAAAAAGAAATAAGGAAAGCCCGGTTAAGCTATAGAGACAAAGTTGAAGCCCAGTACAGCAGTGGAGAGATAAGAGCAGCCTGCAGAGGGATTAAGAACATGGTCTCTATTGGTCACCAGAAAGAGGACAGAAAACCTGTCGTTGTTAACAGTGTGTCTGATACCGACATGCCCAGTGCTTTTAACCTCTTAAACTCCCTCATCATTTTAGCTCGTGCACAAAAGTTGAGCGTACCCAAATGTCTTTGCATATTTCAAAACACATCTTACATCTCACATGCTTGTGTGATGCATCATTTTAAAGCTAGAGCCTTCTAGTTTATGTAAATATACACTAAAATAATGTATTTTAGTGTATATGTATTTCAGGTGACATTTATAATTGCAGGAAGTCAATTAAGCCTTTGAGTGAAATTGAGGTTTCACAGAACACGGTTGAGGCCCTGTTTATAAAAACAAAGGCCGGGAAGGCCAAAGGCCCAGATGCAATTTGTGGTCACACTTTGTACCGTTGTGCCACTCAGCTGCGTGTGTTTTGTTTTTTATTCCAAAATTGTATTGATCTTAGTTGACGTTTTCCACAGCGTTGGAATCTGACAGAGATACCTCTTCCCAAATCCAAGAACTCAAAGGATTTGAGCGATTTCAGACCAGTCGCTTGAACCTCACTGGTTATGAAAAGCCTTGTGCACATTTTAAAGACTCGCATCCTCTCCTTAACAGAAGGACAACTGGATCAACTTCAATTTGCATATCAACCCAAAAAAGGAGTTGATGATGCAGAACTGTTCCTATTGAATGTCATTTATAAACACCTGGAGAAGGCCGGAGGCCATGTCAGACTTTAATTTGCAGACTTTTCATCGGCTTTTAACAAAATTATCCTCATATTCTGATACAGAGATTAGCTGCTGATTTCAATCTCCCAGATCAACTACTTTTATTGATCCTAAACTTTCTTACTGATCGGGTTCAGCATTTTTTAGTGATTGGGAAAACGTCTGCTCCTTCCTTCCTTTCGCCTCTTCTTTCTATCCTCTACAAAAACAGTTTTCGACGATCAGAGGAGAACAGACGTCTGCTTAAATTTTCAGACGACACAGTGCAGGTGTCACTGCTTGCCGGCTCAGAGACGGGCCATGGTCCTGCACTAGCACAATTTGTCTCCTGGTGTGAAAACCATTGCTTGGATTTAAATGTTGCAAAGACCAAGGACATGATCATTGATTTCAGACGCGTCACATCCAATGACACCAGCGTCATCCACGGTGGGAATGTCAAAATCAGTCCAAACATCCTCTGATTGCTGACTTTGTATTGATGCCTCCAGAACGGAAAACAAACCGTTTTTCCAATCCTTTTGTGCCCTCTTAAGAATGTTGAGCTCTGGTAGATGTGTTTGACTTTTGGGAATTGTGTTTTTTATTGTTTTTATTACTTACATTGTTTAACCTGCTGCTTTGTGAACTGTGAGACTCACTGTGTGCTTGTGTAGATTATGTGTGTTCTGCTTTGAGTTTATGCAAAAATCATCCGCCATATTAAAGATAACACAACAGCCAGACACATCAACATTCAACAAGAACAACAAACAAACAAAAAAGTATAGAAATATATGCATTTGAATGTCATTAATGTTGTGCTTATTTTTTGTTATTTGTCTCATGCGTTACAATGCAGATTGCAATTTTAGGTGAAAGACGAAAATATCGCAATAATATCGTTATCCCAATACTAAACACTCATATCAAATATCGCACTAATTTCCATTATTGTGCGGCCCTACTGCAAATGAATTGCCCTTTGGGATCAATAAAGTTTTCTGAATCTGATTTTGAATATGGAACGATTCAATATAATATTGACAATTGTTGCATCCCTAGTATCAAACTTTGACTGTCTTTCTCTATAGATGCTGAGAATGAACGAGCTGCCCTCCACAGACAGCGGTCCCTACCCCATCGGCCTCCTGTCATCCCGTTAATGGCTCGAATGGCTAATCCGAACACATCTGGGACTCCCGTCATGACTGAAAGAGAGGCCTCCAGACTGGACAAGTTTCGGCAGTTACTTGCAGGGCCCAACACAGATCTTGGTAGGATATGCTTCTCATAAATTACTTTAGTCGCTGAACTTTTTGGCGCGTTTGAATAGGAGCCACTCTTACTGAATTTCAAATATGTATTTATTAGGGCTGTCAAAATTATCGCGTTAACGCACGTTAATTCATTTTTTTCATTAATCGCGTAAAAAAAATTAACGCATTTGACGCATGCCCTTGCGTCCCATAATAACACTCAGAATGCCGCGGACACATGCGTGTGTAAGATGGGGACAGAGCAGGTAGGCCCTCTGGGAATTCAAGTTTTAAAAGAATACACGCGTGACCGCGGGCCACTTGTTGTTTCCTGTATGAACTCTGCATGATGAGCTGTGGGCGCGACAGCGCTCTGGACAGCAGTTCCCACCTCCAGCGACTGTGATCACGGCGAACGGCGCTGCGTAATGGGATCATATCCAAGACCACGCACAGAACCATTACAGAACTATTCTCTAGTGTGCGTACGTGTCTTTGCGTAACCGATGCGCACAATATGTACAGAGTAGAAGCTGGACTGCGGAGCCTCAGTCTCCTCCGTGTCTTCTCCCGAAGTGCACTCGCTAAATTAAAGCTGAGGTACCTAATTTTCCTTTCGACTACCAGTTCATGTTAGTTGTGCCAAAAAAAGTAATGGTGTGAGCAAATCAAACAGATTTAATGACATTCTGCATTTCAGACTATTTTGAAATGTCCCTCATCTGTAACAAACAATAGTTTTGGTCTGAGTCTAAACAGAAAGACAGAATGTTAATAATGTTAATTCCATTTTATATGGATTTATTGTTACATTGTTGTTAATTTTACAATTACAGTACATATGTTCACTAAGCTGTCATTCATCTTTCCATTCAAACAACAATTTACGGAAAAATATGGCATAATTTTACCAATAGTTTGAAATGCGATTAATTACGATTAATTAATTTTTAAGCTGTAATTAACTCGATTAAAAAAATTAATCGTTTGACAGCCCAAGTATTTTTTTTTTTTTAAACATATACTGGCCTTACTTGTCTATAATCTGCAGGTGACATTTTTGGGGGGTCATAGAGTGACCGATTCATATTTCCTAAGGCACTCGGGCTGTAAGACTTACAGTGCCTTGCGCAAGTATTGAACCTTTCAACATTTCAGGCTTCATTAAAAAAAATAAAAAAAAATTTGTCAAGAATCAACAACAAGTGGGACACAATCGTGAAGTGGAACAAAATGTATTAGATGATTTAAACTTTTTTAACAAATAAAAAACTGAAAAGTGGGGCGTGTAATATTATTCGGCCCCCTTGCGCTAATACTTTGTAGCGCCACCTTTTGCTGCCTTTACAGCTGCAAGTCGCTTAGGGTATGTCTCTATCAGTTTTGCACATCGAGAGACTGGAATTCTTGCCCATTCTTCCTTGCAAAACAGCTCGAGCTCAGTGAGGTTGGATGGAGAGCGTTTGTGAACAGCAGTCTTCAGCTCTTTCCACAGATTCTCGATTGGATTCAGGTCTGGACTTTGACTTGGCCATTCTAACACCTGGATACGTCTATTTGTGAACCATTCCATTGTAGATTTGGCTTTATGTTTTGGATCATTGTCCTGTTGGAAGATAAATCTCCGTCCCAGTCTCAGGTCTTTTGCAGACTCCAACAGGTTTTCTTCCAGAATGGTCCTGTATTTGGCTCCATCCATCTTCCCATCAATTTTAGCCATCTTCCCTGTCCCTGCTGAAGAAAAGCAGGCCCAAACCATGATGCTACCACCACCATGTTTGACAGTGGGGATGGTGTGTTCAGGGTGATGAGCTGTGTTGCTTTTACGCCAAACATATCGTTTTGCATTGTGGCCAAAAAGTTCGATTTTGGTTTCATCTGACCAGAGCACTTTCTTCCACATGTTTAGTGTGTCTCCCAGGTGGCTCGTGGCAAACTTTAAACAAGACTTTTTATTGATATCTTTGAGAAATGGCTTTCTTCTTGCCACTCTTCCATAAAGGCTAGATTTGTGCAGTGCACGACTGATTGTTGTCCTATGGACAGACTCTCCCACCTCAGCTGTAGTTATCTGCAATTCATCCAGAGTGATCACGGGCCTCTTGATTGCATCTCTGATCAGTCTTCTCCTTGTTTGAGATGAAAGTTTGGAGGGACGGCCGGGTCTTGGTAGATTTGCAGTGGTCTGATACTCCTTCCATTTCAATATAATTGCTTGCACAGTGCTCCTTGAGATGTTTAAAGCTTGGGAAATCTTTTTGTATCCAAATCCGGCTTTAAACTTCTCCACAACAGTATCTCGGACCTGCCTGGTGTGTTCCTTTGTCTTCATGGTTCTCTGAGCGCTTTTAACAGAACCCTGAGACTATCAAAGAGCAGGTGCATTTATACGGAGACTTGTTTACACACAGGTGCATTCTATTTATCATCATCAGTCATTTAGGACAACATTGGATCATTCAAAGATCCTCACTGAACTTCTGGAGTGAGTTTGCTGCACTGAAAGTAAAGGGGCCGAATAATATTGCACGCCCCACTTTTCAATTTTTTATTTGTTAAAAAAGTTTAAATTATCCAATAATTTTCGTTTCACTTCACGATTGTGTCCCAATTGTTGTTGATTCATGACAAAAAATTAAAATTTTATATCTTTATGTTTGAAGCCTGAAATGTGGCGAAATGTTGAAAGGTTCCAGGGGGCCGAATACTTTCGCAAGGCACTGTATATCCGCTTTACATCAATAGGCTACAAGACAGCAGCTCAAGGCTGAGGTTTACTCTTTTCTTGCATTGGTAAGCACACACAGGCTAGGCTACATTGCTGAGTTTAGACCGGGAATAGTGCACAGGTCCAAATTCTGGTACACCTGGTGAGTGTCATACTGGTCAACTGGACAACGGTGACAGGCAATGTACCACATACAACATCTGTAGTTTTTAACTGTATTCCATAAAGTTGGCAGAGACACCTAATAAAACTTCACTCTGGTGACGTCCCTGGTGCCCTTCTGCTGTTCGCCTGCCTGCACCAACTTATTTGATTTTGTTCTCCCCTCCAGCAGGCATGCTTCAACTGTCTTTTCTTTTACCTGACGAAGACCATTATACAACTTTTCTTTTTGCAGTCTGTTCTCAGTAGTGATGGAAAAATTATCCAGTTTTCTGCACTGAAAGTAAAGGGGCCGAATAATATTGCATGCCCCACTTTTCCGTTTTTTATTTGTTAAAAAAGTTTAAATTATCCGATAAATTTTGTTCCACTTCACGATTGTGTTTGAAGCCTGAAATGTGGCGAAATGTTGAAAGGTTCAAGGGGGCCAAATACTTTGACACTGTATGTCATTTTGTGCGGCCAGCTGCTGTTTGGGCTGCTTGTTCTTTGCACTATGATCTAACTTTTTTTGTCCAAACTATGTCGTAACTGTGCCCAAAAAGACGGCTGCATTTGCAGGTGATTGATGTCTGATGCGTGAAATCCATGAAAATATAGAATTTTTAATAAAAAGGATTTAGTTTAGTTTTTTTCAGTTAAACATAAACTGCCACATGTCTAGAGAAGACAAACTTTCTCATAAATCAAGTCAGTTCGACTGGGCCAACAAAGTTATGAAGTATGATTTGGCCTTTACATCTCTTTTTCAGAACAGAGACCTGAGCACAGGACTAACATGAGAGGACTTGTGTTCCACTCGACTCGAGCTACAGCCTTTTGAATATTGTGCTGCTGTTTACAGGCTGTTACAGTAGTCTAACCTTCTTGGGAGAGATAAGCATCTCCAAGACTGCTATTCATAATTTACACTATTTTGTGAGTTCATGAAGTCCAAATAATTGGTAATGAGTCACTGTTACCAATTTAGCTACTCAGGATGTGGTTAGTAAGCATGCACTCAGCAGTGCAGCAGGTCTGTCGAATCTAGGAACACCGGACACACACTGAGATAGACAGACGAGCCCACCTGCCTAAATCGTACAAGCTGGCAGCTCCCATATTCCATCAATCAGGCCAGGTCCCAAATAGAAGAAAGATTTGAGGCCATGACTGCTATTAATGATGTTATTCATGAGAAAAAACTGCATGTGGATGGATGAGTGCAGACCCCCAAGTGTACTCAAGGGCAGGCAGTCAAGAAACTTTTATCCTAGAATGCTACCAACCGTACACTTTTTAACAGGACTTAGTGGTCCTCATACACATGTAAAGGTTCACATTCTTGAACATGTATTGACCTACAATTATGTTTTGCATATTTCAACAAAAAGGGGCGACAGTAGCTCAGTTGGTAGAGCATTGGCCTTTTGGGCCTGAAGGTCGTGGGTTCAAGCCCACCATAAGACCTACTTCAGGACTCCCACCAATGACTGCTGTCGTTGTGTCCTTGGGCAAGACACTTAACCCCACTTTGCCTGAAGCTCCTACTGAAAGATTTCAGCTCCTGTGGACTCACCACCTGCAGGAGGATCAGTGAGGGGCTGGTGCTAAGTGTACTGGGTGCAGCTCTGACTGCCACCCCCCCGACCCAGAAATGGATTAAGGGGAAGAAAATGGATGGATGGATGGATATTTCAACAAAGAACTCCATATATGGACCTTTTTCACTGCAATTTCATGGCTATGCCAAAAGAAAATATTATATGGAATCATATTGGTTCTTCTGTAACTGCTATAACAGCGTGGCTTAGACAGTAAATGGAAAGAGACGTGAGATACAAACACAGGAATGTATCAAACCTTTTTGAAGAACTTTACTTTTGACCTCAGTGCCCTTTTATCTAGTGGCCAAATTCCTTTCCCTGCAAATCCAATTAAAAACATCAGCTTCTAGTTCCACATTAATCCAGTTAAAGCAAGGGCAGCTTTAACTTTCTGCACAAATAGCTGATCCTAATATGCTAGCTAAGTATAACTTTTATTGTGTTTTCGAGCAAATGGCTAACTAGAAGGGCTCACTTTTATTCTTGGGCACATCATAATTTAGAATTTCCCTTGTTTTGTGGTCTACACCTTTGGTCTCAGG